AACTGATCTGCGTATTCAGAAGATTTTACGAGAGGCCTTCCGATCGTCAACTGTTTTGACTATCGCTCACCGCATTGATACCGTTCTGGATTACGACCGCATTTTTGTTATGGCCGGAGGAAAACTGGTGGAGACAGGTGTCCCAGGCAGTTTGCTGAAAAAGGAAGATTCGCTGTTTCGCTCTTTATACGATAGCGCATTTTCGGCCACCGGGTACAAGTGAAGTCAATGGTGAAGCATCTTCGCTTCCTCATCAAAGTAAGTCAGTCAGTCTTTGTTTTTTCTAAAATCCACCGATGGCTGGCAATGAAGATTCTAAAAATTTGGCCCGAGGTGCCTGTGGACTATGGCATATAGTTATAGGTATAAAATATGAGACTTTTCAATAAAATTATGCATATTGCGCTCTCATTATGAGCCTTATTCGTTCCCCTGCAGAATGAAAGCTTCAACGTAATTTCGCTGCAAAATTCTGTCTCATGTGATTTCTATCTACGTTGTTTCAACGAACCTCTTGAGCCCGCTTTATAGTCAGCCTGCTTGTCCTCGCATGAACCGTTTGCTCTGTATTGGAATCAAATCTGATATCTTTTTCGTCCTAGAAGGTTGTTTCTTCATGCAACGTGTCCTGCACATAGTCACTGTTGTTCGTTCGTACTTCATGTTTTTTGTTGCTTCACTCCTAGGTCTTTATTTGGTGTCAGTGGGCTTATACTCGGAGCATGCATTGATTGACGATCATTGTTTACAAGCACAACTGCAATTTCCCAGATGGGAACATTTTAAGTCTTCGGTTGATTTGGCTAAGTCGATTCTACGATGGATAATTCTTTGCTTCATTCTTCGCTATGTTTGTGGTCGTTTAGTTGGCATGTTTAAGAACAGTTTTGAATCGCATACCAAGGTGCATTACAGATAATCCAGCATTGCCTAACGACACCGAACCACATCACCCTTCTTAACGGCTGGTCTGCTTCAGAGCTGACGCCGTAAAAGCCACATGAATATGCCTGGACTGAACTCAATTTCTAGCAAGATCGGGGGTACCTGCTCGACACAACCGAGAAATCCCGAGTTCTGGCCAGGTCGGCGTCGTTCGCTAGCCTTCCTTCCTTCAGAGGTTGACAAATGACTACTACTGTATTGGAAGGAAGCAGGATACCCAAAACAATTGTTTTTTTCCACATACATGCTGTCGACTTTTACTTTAAAATAATGTACTCCTGGCTGATAGTAAGAAAATGAAAGTCAGCACCTTACCATTAGCTTTATGAAATCAAGGGCGCCAAAAATGACCACATCATGAAAATTTGAGGAAAGCCAATATTCCAACAATGAAAATCTTTCTTTTTTCATGTAAATTTCGTTTGACAGAAACCTCTTTGAACGAGATTTGATAGCAAATACAGTTCGTTAGTTAAATGAATTGATTTCAGCCGTTTCAAGCTGAGGGACGGTAGTTCGATTCTGCGACCGTTTTGTAATACTAAGTTTTTTTACATAAAGAGTTTATTAGACACGTGGTGTTGTTCGAAAGAGTCAAAAAATTCTTGTTTCTACATAAAAGAAACACTAATTCCTATGGGTTTTACTCTTAGACTGCTAGTTTTCGATACTGCCGTTATTAAAAACAACGTTTTTTACTATCTTAATTACACGGCGTATAGCCAACGTCCTCATTAATCTAGTGGTCTAGGAGGACCATTTAAGCAGGCTACGGGATCATGGTATTTGAACACTTGCAGTGCGTAGATTCAGAATCGCATCACTGGTCAGTGCCGAGCAATTCGCTAGTAAATTCATAAGGTCGGTGTTTATTATGTAAATATGCCTACAGACGGTGACATATCCATAAGTGTCCGGACAAGTTTTTTGTGTCTTGATATACCTAACTTGTCAGCTGACCGTTTCACTATTAATATCACTTATGCACAGCAGGATTAAAAAAATTCCACATGCACTTAGTGCTGCTCTACGATGTTTTGCTCAGCTCATTGTCTGCTTTCTGTTACATAAATAGCGGGTAAGTTTCCGAAGTGCACTAAAAACACATAGGAGTGGTAATCCAGTACATTAAAGTTGTTGTATTTAATGACCTCTGTATAATGAGTATTACAATATACTTTTAGTATTGAGCGGGTGTCCTTCCGGCGATGATGATTAAAATATGCTGATTAGCCCTGTTAACGAGTCTTATTTCTGATTTCATAAAGCAAGCGTTATTGACACAGTATCTATTGGTAAATGGATGTTTCCAAGTTGATTACGAACGTCTATATCATTTTATTGGTCGGCAAGATTATGACCTGTTTCAGATATCAGTTTTATCTCTGATTTCTGAAGTTTTCATTTTTAGCTCAACGAAATGCTGATGGTTCCATTTAATCCTAGTACGAGTCTCTTGGCGGATTTTTTCTGATTTGTATGTTATTTGTTTATTACCTTTCGATTGCCAAATTGTGACGGTTTAAGCAAATTTTTCGCGTCTCTTGTTGATATAACGTTGATTTGAATTATCTGCTCAGAAATGATTAAGTATTGATTTGCTGGTGCTTTGTGATCTTACTTTTAACTTTAGCGTGATAGTGACTTTCAGACTGTGGTCAGTTTATGATGATTCATGTTTTGAAGTTTTACAGGTGATAACAGAGAAACAGAATCCACTGGTCATGGCAAAATAAGCAAACGTCGATTTCTTGAATGAAAAAAGCGGTAAAGTGTGATTTGGTGTTTTGCCCGTAATTATTATAGTTTGACAAAAACGTGTTAGTCATAATATGCCTTGTTTACCTAAAACTTTGAGCAACACCAGGCAATTTTCATCGATTCCAGCAGCCTTAGCACTTTTCATGCTTTCTACGGCTTCTGTGAGTTCATCTAACTAACGGATGACTATTATCTGTTGCCTCCCACACTTCGGGAGGATCTCCTTGAGGTTGTTTTGGGCTAAGTAGTTCTTCAAAATACTGTCTTAATCGCCGAAGTAAAGTTGTAATATTTTAAGGCTATAATTAGATTATTGCATAATATTGAAATTGGGCACAATGATATTGTTTCTGAGGCAAACTGATTGAAATGGCAATGAACAGGGGGCACGCTGCAAGAAAATCCATCAACCACTGGACCAAGGAAGTATTAAACGGCCTGTTCGAAAATCTTCACGTCAATGGTAGGATGAGCTGAAAGTCTTGTTTAAGCCAACTGGATAAAAATCGCACAAGATAGAATTTCTTGGCAAAATCGTGGCGACGCCTTGATGCAGCAGTGGATAGAGAAAGGCTGAAAATGAATATGCAGTAGAAGAAGTAGATGATGGTAGTTCAAAGGTATATTCAAGTTTATATAGGTTCAATGCCCGGACAGTAGCGTCATTGGCTGAAATTCCTTTGCTCATATTTGGAACCGAAATTTGCAGAAATATATTTGAAGAGAGTGGTTTCAAAGGTCTTCAGCATTTTCTACCATCAGAGTGACAAGAAAATGAGCTTTATATGTAACCATCAGTTTAACATGGCGCATCAATCGACGGTTTGCGCTAGTGCTGGTGATTGATTTACTATTTATTCTGCTTCCATTTGATTCAATGACTCATTTTATTTTTTTAATAGTGAATGGGCATAAAATTAACAGGACCACAAGCATGGGATGAATAGGGACAGCAGCCTTCAGTATTTTTCAGAATGGGTGACAGTTGGAATGTCCTTGTGGAAAAGCTGGTTTGGAAGGTTTGCGGGACTCCCGTTGTCTATTTTAATTGGCCAACTGCTTTGAATTCATGATTTGCATTAAGGCTTCTTTCCGACTATGGGAAATACCTTCTACAACACATCGATTATTTGGATTTGGCTCATAGTCTTTTGTTCTGATTGATGTGTACTCTCAACTACGCGGATGCTAAATTTAGCTTATAACGAGCGAGTCATACAATACTCAAAGGTGACGCTAGACCATACATGTTCAGGCGCTTTTTTAGAATCATTGCTGCAGCTAGCCATGGCTACTGTATCTTGTTGAATATCTGTATGATTTTTCCGTGTAGCTCAGAGGAGAGAGAAGGCAATGGCACGGTATAGAGGCTCTCACTTAGCGACCGAGACAACCTGTAACCATGTCCTAAATATCTGTTCGTTGTACCGGTGGATAATTAAATAGATCCAACGTGTATGGAATGTTAGCTTATTGTGCTAATGCATTATTATAGTCCAGCTGCAATATCCCTGCTTATTCCTGGAGGTAATAAGCTACAAAATAAGAAATTCAGTCCTGCTACATCACAAAGATGAATATGAATTGTGTACTCCAGAATCTTATGAAATATGGAAGAACGGAAATGATAGAAGAGCCTTACATCGCGTTTCATTAAATTTGAATCTAAAACAATTTTTGCGGAGATGTAGACTTTATGCCAATGTGTAAACAAAACGATATAAATGAATTTCTAAATGACAGGAAATAATTCTACGCATGACGATTAACTTTTTGCATCCATATTTGTCGTTTGAGTCGGAAGGAAATCCTGAGTGGTTCTTTTCATTAATTACGGAGTGTCTAGGGAGATGTACTTTTGCCTTTGCTCTTTTGTAGAATTTTTTTCTGGAACTGTGGTTATCTAAGCAACAGAACTGAAGATTTCTGGTAGAAGAGACGCACAGCCAAGATATCCGGTTTCACATAACTTGCTGTCTTGGGATGCACAGGTGATCGATTCATGATAATTGGCACAAAACACGACAAACGTAGGTTTCTCTTCCTTAACGCCCAAAAATCGAGCAACGAGCATCCGTTTGCCATGGCAAATCCATTGATTCAATGAGAAAGTTTTACAGGAGGTCAGTTGTTTAAAACACACACACA